AAGACAAAATTTGATCGGACTAATGATTTGACAGATTTCCAATGTTGTTACACTCACAAGTAAACAAGATAATTGCACCAAGCCGCTAGTTATTTTCTTATTGTATAATAATTACGTCTCTCAACTTGTAAAAAAAAATTTGTGCCCTAACCGGTAGGAATTAAAATTAGAGTTTTAATTTAATTCAAAATCAAAAGTTAATTTTAATTACATATTTCATGATATCTGCGTCTTTTCATCCACACATTTTATCAAAATATAACATATGATCGTACTAAATGCATAGTGCGAGACTTGTTAGTTTTCTGGCGTGTAACAAAGAAAAAAAATCGTGAATTGCATCTCAATAGGTTTAAAAGTTCAAGTTTAATATGAGTGACAAGCCAGTACGTGAAACTAACGTTCACGTGAAAAACTCTATCAATAAGAAAGGATGTCGGATTTTGCGATCAATTTGTCAAGTTAGGAGTAGTAAATTGTTTTATGTTAAGAAATGTTTTCATTGATAGTCAAGGGACTGGAATAATAGTGCCGTTAATGGAGTCGACAATCCTTTTATTCCCCCATTCATACTTGCTCTTTTCTCTCTCTGTATCTCTTTCTTTCTCTCTCTATATATCTCTCTTAAGAGTCAAGACATAAATGGCATCCTATTTTTTCGCCTGTTTCCGCTTTGTGGTTGCAAGAACAATCTACCATAGCCCCTACATATATATGCATCAATCCATTTTATATATCTAACCTCCCATCCTTTCTCGTTTCTTTCAATTGTTTTTACTCTCTCTCTCTCTCTCTCACATATACATACACACACATGTATGTATGTGTGTTTTTCTATATAATCTAGTGTCTAAAACCTAAAGCCCACTTCATTTACACAACTCATAGAGTATCTGTTTATTTTCAATTACTCATTAGCCATGGATTATGAAGCCAATACTTCTCTTAGTCTGAGTTCCTTAAAAGATAAGCTAAATCTAAACCTAGTACTGGACCCTTTGTCTTCTTCATCATCATCATCACCTTTGGAACCCGTACGAGTTTTTTCTTGCAACTTTTGCGGAAGGAAATTCTACAGTTCACAGGCTCTTGGAGGACACCAAAATGCTCACAAACTGGAGAGAACCTTGGCCAGGAAAAGCAAAGAATTATGCTCGGCGGTTAAGCCACACGCCGGAATTGACCAGCTGCAGCCTTCATCCGGAGGTTCTGCTGGCGGCCGGAGTCGCTTGCCGGGGCCACTTATCGGGGTTGATGAGCAAGGACATGCTGGTAGGTTTAACAGTGACATGAATTATGGAAGAAGAAATTATTGGAATGATGATTACAATAAGGGAGAGAGTGTTGAGGAAGAGCTCGGTCAGCTTGACTTGACTCTAAGGCTTTGACTTTCATCGACCTACGAAAGTTTAATCAGAAGGAAAATTCCGTTGATGAAAATTTTATCGATGGATTATTGGCATATTGCATAATTTTAGAAATAATTTTCTAGATGATTACTAAGAGAATTTATACATGTTAATTAGAAACTAAATTAATGTCTAGGATACAGAACGTGGTAAGTTTGATTAGTTACCAAATTAAATATTTTCTTGGTTTAATTAACGATTCAATAATATCCCTTATAACGAGCAGATAAGTAGTAATCCACAAATTATTAGAATTGGTGTCACAAATGTATGTTAAAGGGAAGTATATTTGATATATTGTGTGATGTTTGCAACATAAGTTTGTTTGGAATATTGAATTTAAAGTGATTTAATAAAATTAAAGATGAGAGCATGTGCCAACCTATACCATTTGTAGCTTGTTCAATCCAATTTAGGTGATTCTTGGTTTAGATAAAAATGGTATTTTTAGTAGTTTTTGGTAAAAGTTGAAGAATATGGTGAAAAAATTGCAGGTCTAATGAAATGTGTAACTCAAATTAACTGTTGACTTTAACTTAAATTTTAATTAAATTTTTTAATTTTAATAAAACAGGGTATTAGTCTAGTGATTGAATTTGCACACTTCCTTAATTTTTTATTTCAAGATAGAAATTAATAGAACTTGTGGATAAGTATCGATTAGTGGAATTCCTACGTCTCTTTTAATCAAAATCACGGAATGCTTTATTAATATCATAATAAATAGAGTACGACTTAGGTGGAGACCTAAATCTAGCTTCTAGGGCAATATGACATATGCTCGAATCATGCTTCGTGTCATTATGCATTTGTATTGTACAAACTTCTTATCACTAGTTGAAGTAATTTATGATGATCCCATATTTTAGAATTATGTAAACCATGGATAATGCGTTCCTTATACTAAATATTTATTTGAAAAGATTGATTACTTACGTATTCGTTACATTTACTTTTTCTAAGAAAAATAGAAATTACTTGAGTGAATTGTTTTCACTATTTGACTACATTCACTTGCATTTTTCAGTTTGTGTGTATATCAGGTACACGGAAATATACACTTATTACATTGTCGTGTTTTAATTTACAGTTTAACCTCTCTAATTTAATAAGATTTATTATACAATAATTTATTAACTAATGAAAGAAATTAATTTGCTGAACATCTACCTTAAAAAAATTGTTTTATGCATGTTTGCTAATACCACTACATACTTCTAGGTAGTTAGAAAATCTTGCTCATGCTAATTTAGTTTTACATATTCATTATTTGTAAGTTACTAATGAGCTTGTTACATATCTAGAATAAAAAATATAAATGCAAGGATGGTACATGAGAAATTGAATGAAAATCTCATAGCAATTGCATCACAACAAATCATGAAGTTGAAGAAGATACGGATAATGAAATTCTTTGTCTAACAAAAATAAATTATGTGTCCTTCACTTATGTATTTCTACTCTTGACCTTTCGAATCTCACTTATGTTATAGTTCATAAGATACTTCGAATTATACAGTTCTAGTTTAGGATAATCGAGAAAAAACATGTTAATCTAGATAGATAGTTATCTAAATAACATGACTACACTAATCTAAATATATATATTATATATATAATTGAATGATGAAAAATTAAGAAATTTTAATCCCGCCTCTTAAAACCCTTGACAAGACGGGAAACGGGGAGGGTCACTTCCACTATCTGTCCTCTTGTCATCCCTAATAGAGCTGAATAAACTATAGGGAAAATTGTATATTGATCATTAACACATTGCGTGATAATAAAGTCTACCTCTAACATTTAACTTAAAAAAAAAAAAAAAAAAGGGTTCGTTTTCCACCTTTTGTTATAGTTGTACGATAAACTGTC